CCTCTCCCATACTCTGCCTCTAATAAACCGCCCCCCCTCTTCGCGCCTGCTCCTGGCGTGTTCCCCTCGTCCTTCGTCCCTCCCCCTCCCCTTCTCCCACTCTCCCTCGTTCTCCCCCCCTCTTTTTGCAGGGCCCACACCAATTCCAATGCCAGGCACATGTACGCCCACGAAGGATTGTCCGCCAGTTCAGGTCCGCCCGCTTGTCTAAGCCCGCCGCCCCCCGCAAAGAGAAAGAATCCCCCCAAAAGGGGGTGTGATCGAAGACAAAAAGGGCGGGTATCGAGGGAAACTCGCGTTGAATGACACGCGTTCAAGTAAGAGCGAACAGTCTTAGAATGATTGCTGTTATTGTTGCTGTTGTTGTTGAACTCTCGCTTCGGAAGGACAAGTATTGTTGATCCTCCCCGTCTGGTGCACTTTGTTTTTAAGTGAAGTGCCCTTCCCGGGGCTCGCACCCTGTTTTTTTTTGGGGAAGTCTTGAAGGTCAAACTGCGTTGCTGGCTCCGGGTTTACAACAACAACAACAAAAACAACAACAACGGCTCCCGCCTGGTAGATCCTCCCATGTATTGAAGAATCGCGCTCCCGCTTGGGACTTCCTTGCAATTTTCCACCGGATCGCGGCTCCCGCTTGATACTTCCTCACAATGTATTGAAGAATCGTCTCTCGCTTGGGACTTCGTCGCAACTTACCACCGAATCGCGGCTCCCGCCGGATACCTCCTCACAAATCATTCAAATGCCGCTCCTCGAGCATCAGGAATCGCGCTCCTGCTACATATTGACTGGCGGTTCAAGCAAAATTGACGCTTAAACGACCCGCCCGCTCGACCCGCCCGTCTGGGCCTGCCCGCCCGACCAGCCCGTTAGGGACTGCAGTCGCCGCTCGCTGCCCTTCGCCCGCCTTCGATGCCCCTCGCTGCCCGCACTTGGTTCCGCGGTCGCCTTCGCTCGCTGCCCCTCGTGGCCCCGTTACTGCCCTCAGTGGCCCCGTCGCTGCCTGCCCCCGCTCGCGCTCACCCGTCGTGACCACTTTGCTGCCCTCAGTGGCCCCGCTGTCGCCTTTTGTAGCCCCATATGCGAATGCCCTTCGTGGCCCCCGCTCGTTCGCTCCCGTCGTGGCCCCGTATGCATGCCCTTCGTGGCCCCGCTGTCGCCTTTCGTGGTCTCCTCTGCCCTTCGTGGCCCCGTTTCTGCCCTCAGCGGCCCCGTCGCTGCCCACTGTGGCCCCGGATCAAATTGCCCTTCGTGGCCCCGTTCGCTCGCGCCCTTCGTGGTCCAATACGCGTGCGTTTCGTCGCCCCGCTGTCGCCATTCGTGGACCCCTCGCGGCCCTTCCTGGCCCTTTTTCTGCGATCGCTGGCCCCGCTGCGCTCAGTGGCTTCACCAACCACACGTGGCACGGAATGACTATGCCCCCAAAAGGGGGCACGATCGAAAACGAAGAGGGCTGGTATCCAGGGTTTGGGATATGCCCAGTGAATGACACGCGAGCAGATAAGAGCGAACAGTCGTAAAGTGATTGTCAAGGCAAAGCCCCATCTAGGAACCCCAACTTCGAATCTTTCTTGCCAGCGCTGAGCTAGACCCCAAAATGTGATATCTTAGATAGCGGGGGCTACCAGCGACCACGCGCACGATACTGCGAGCGGCCACGAGCCTCCTGCCCCTGGTCAGACAACAGCTGCTGTCGAGCCACTGCGTTGAAACGAGCGGAAGAAGCGGAGGAAGAAAATTGAACAGCACCATGCACTCGCCACGCTAGTTGGTGTTGTTGTTGTTTTTTTGTGTTTGTGTTTGTGTTTGCTGTTGTTGTTGTTGGTGTTGTTGTTTGTTGTCGTCGTCCCACCCGCGGCCCACCCGCGACCCGCCCCGCAACCCACCCGCGACACACCCGCGACCCAACCGCGACCCACCTGCGACCCACCAGCGACCCACTTGCGACCCGCAGTTTGAGATCAGGATGCAGGGCATGATGGCCAGGAGAACAAGGCTCATGCGACTATGTGGGGCGGTTGGCGGCAGAACTACGGCTCCGTGGAACACAGGTGTTCTGCCAGGAGCGGCTCGTGGAACGGGAGTTTCAGGAGTCAGCGATCAGCCCCTGCAGCAGCTACGGCGCTTCGCCGGCGATCTGGCAGGTGCTAAGATGCAGGAAGCTTCGCTGACAGCGTATTTGGTCATGCAAAAGAGCAGGTACTACGATCCCATGTTCACGGCCACGGTTGACCTGGTGACGCGATGCGCTGGATCGATCTGGGATCAGACAGGTTCTCTGGGCAAGCTTGAGAAGGCCGGGCAAGCGATGTATGCTCGATCTCAAGAACGGCCAGGAGGTACCGTCACATGGTCCATGGTCAAAGGGCCAGTTGCTGGTGCTTGGTGAAGTTAAAACCGCATTGGCTGGAACATGCTATGTTCGACGGTACTGCAGACAGATGCGGGGAAAAGCTACCACTGCTTGCTACATGCCCACATGAGGTGAAGAGGCGACTTCGAGGAGGCACTGAACGATGGCAGCCCAAGAAGATACTATGCCACCGCAGCGTTGGGACCAGCATTGGCACGCCATTATGTCGTAGGGTCATGAAGGCCATTGTGGCAGGACCCAAGGCGGCGATTGGCAAGGCTGGTCAGGCTGGCTGTATTCGGGCACTGTGGAGTGGAACGCCGTGGACGCAGTCACAGAAATATCCCTTTGGCCTGGCTCGAGAAGAACCATGTCGCGCGTGTCAGGAGCCACTTGATGCGCCGGGATATTGTTTTCACGTGCGCCCTGGGGTTATGAATGGAATAGGCCAGAGCGGTGGGACTGGAGTTGCCCGAGAAGTTGCTAGACGTGCAGAAGTGGCTCGAGGACAAAGGGGGCCAGAACGGACTGAGCAAGCCTGACTACGAGACGCTGGAGCTATCGGTGAGACCATCTACGCTTCCGCCGCCTGCTGACCCCCTGCTAATCAACCGCAAGTCCTCCTCTGGGGCGACTGGGCGTCTGACGCGTCAAAATGGTCGGACACTATCTTCACTGGTGGATCTGGGTACGAGTCCTCTATTCCTGAATTATGCAAATGTGGTTGGTCATACACGTATCTGAACAAGGTTTGCCGCCAAGGGCAGTGCATGTGCCGCTCCCAGGGGCACGGCAGACAGTTGGCAGAACTGACAGATATGCTGTCTACCAAAGACTGAAGATGTTCCCGCACGCAACACTGATAGTGTCCGACTTGGCTGGTCCAGTGCGGGAAGCGAACAGCTGGACGGCGCAGTTGGAGGCCTCGGCGGGCAGGCATGCAGATATTTGGAGGACGATATTCGGTACGGTGAAGGACAAGCATCCTGCAGTAGCTTGGACGCCAGCACGCAAAGATGTCGATCTATACCTACCAATGGGCTTGCATCCAATCTGGTGGTATGGATATTGGTGGGCAGATCGCATGGCCAAGGAAGGGGCGCTCAGACATAGAGCGTCGGGGGTATTGGTGGACACCTACCAGGCGGAGTTGAGGCACCACCAAAAAGGTCAACCAGTACTGCCCCCGTGTTATAGAACATTGGGTCATGGAAGGGGCTTGGAAGGACCCCGGTCTACTACCGAAGCCATGGAAGGTTGGGGCGCCAGTGCAGCTGGCCATACAGCAGCATTGTCTCGTGGAGCTTAAGGACGGGTACTTGAGATGCATGTGATGTGGCACGGGCACGAAAGGACAGAAGGTGAAGGCCAACCTGCAGGCGACAACTTGCGATGCGTGCAGACGGAGCCCGGGCGCTTCACGTGCCAAGCCCAGATTGACTACGTTGGTAAGGCGGAGGTCCCTACTAGGCGTTTCGAGGCAGTGGCCCATGCGATGCTGGGTGCTAATCGGGGGTTGGGGTTAGACCGACCATGGTGAAGGACACGCTCGAGGAGAAGAGCTCGCACTGTCTGTTCATTGCTGGTCCGTACACGACGTGCAGAAAGCGTGGCTTCTTCGGTGAAGCCTCGTCAGGCTCGCCAGGATTGTTGCAACGATGCGCAATAGGCCAAAGGTTGTGCACGTCCGCTGCCTACGGCAAGCAGAATGTGAAGAAGCTGGAGCGCCTCCTCGATGGTCGGCACCAGATTTCGGGAGTAGTGCTTCAGCCCGTTGAGGTCAGTTCGGCGAGCTGATCGAAAGGATACTTTCTTTGATGGCCGCACCCCCTTCGTTGCAGCGGATGTGCGTGAGCACTCTTCTGGCGGGCTGATGGTGTCAGCCAGCATGGCCGCTCAGGGGGTGCTGGGGCCTTTTCATACTCGTATGACGTATGTATGAGGTCAAGCACCTGAGCTACATCCCTTTTTCTTTATGGCTGCAGCCCCCTCGTTGCAGCGGATGAGCGGAAGTTCTCTTCTGGTGGCTGGCGGTGTAAGCACACTTGGCCGCTGAGAGGTTTTTGGGGCCGAGCAGCTACACACGTGGTCGCGATCGTGGCGGCCCTGTCTCCTGGCCACACACCCTTCGTTGCAGCGGATGACCGAAAGCTCTGTTCTGGTTGCTGGCGGTGTCAGCACACTTGGCCGCTGAGGGTGTGTTGGAGACGTCGTTCTTGCTGGAAGGTCGTGATCCTGAGCGGCCTCGCTGCACCGGCTTCTAAGTATTGATCATGTCTGGAGCTTGTCCGGATAATTCTGGTGGCTGTGAGAAGCATCTGGTTTTCTACCACGACCACGTGCACTGGGCGTTCGCGCCTTGAGGGCCACGGCTGGCGGCCAGGTGGACAGACGATGAACCCGAGCGGGCCCGTCCTCGGGCTCGCTGGAGGAGAAGGAGGATGCGGCGCGGAGGAGGAGGAGGAGGACGAGGAGGAGAGGAGCAGGAGGAGGAGGAGGAGGAGGAGGAGGGAGGAGAAGGAGGAGGAGGAGGGAGGAGCAGGAGGAGCAGGAGGAGGAGGAGGGAGGAGCAGGAGGAGCAGGAGGAGGGCACGGCGAAGGAGGGAGCCCTCCCCCCCCCCCGCCGCAGCGGAGGGCCCGTCCCCTCCCGGCAGAAGTCCCTGGCCAGGCGCTGGATCTCCTCGGAAGGGGGCGCCCCGGCCCCGAGGCCGACCGTCCCCGCCTCGCGCCCCCCTCGCCCCTCGCCGCTGGGCCAAGGCGTGTGCCCCGCGCAGCGGGTGCCGGGCGGCGGCCGACGGCCCCGCCGCTCGCCGCCCTGCTTGCGGCCGCTCCCTCCTGCGCTCCCCATCCCCTGCGGCGTTGCCCCGCGGCCCTTCGCCACGGGGCGCCTCCCTCGAGGCCTGTAGAACAAGAGTGCCCCCTCGCCCCTTCTCCCTCGTCCCCTCACCCCTCCGCAGGCGCAACGGTAGGGGGGGACTGCCTCCGGGGGGGGGGGGACATCGACCTGGAATCGACGCTGCATCGCCGATAATCGCCAAAGGTCTTTAGTTGTGCTCCCCCCTTTTCTCCTGGAGGTGAATAAGACTGGTCCAAAAACCTCCTCCTCCTCCTCCTTCTCCTCCTCCTCCTCCTCCCTCTCCTCCTCCTCCTCCTCCTCCCTCTCCTCCTCCTCCTCGTCCTCCTCCTCGATCCTCCTTCTCCTCCTCCTCCTCCTCCTCCTCCTCCTCCTTCTCCTCCTTCTCCTCCTTCTCCTCCTCCCAATTGTTGCGCGGCGGGAGCCGCGGACGAAAGAAATAGTTACCCCCTACTGGTGGGACCCAAATCCTCCAATGAGGCCGCCACAGATAAAATCGATTACCTCCCATCGGGGGGGGGTCTGAAGACCTTTCACGGTTAGATCGGCGACGGCCCCCCGGCCCCCGATAGCGACTCCGCACGCTCCTGGGTGGGGTGGGATGTGGGGCCCCGATTGGCGATGAGTGTGATGGGCCTGTTTTCCACCACCACCACCATCATCAGTTGGAGGGGGAGGGGGTCCTCCTCCTCCTCCTCCTCCTCCTCCTCGTCCTCCTCCTCCTCGCCCTCCTCCTCCTCCCCCCACCCAACTCATGGTGGTGGTGGTGGAAAACAGGCTCATCAGAGTGGGCGACTGGAGGTGGATGCGCTGCCCAGGTCTCCCCCCAACGTTGCCCCTGGCCTCTTCCCCTCTGGAGGAGCCATACATTACACCCTCGCGGCAGAACAGCTTCAACAACGTCACGCACTGACGCGAGAGGGACCACTGTGGTGAATCACGATGGGCCACCGACTCCGGGGACCCAGCATCCCTCACTGGGCGTTCGAGGCACTGTACGTATCCATATAGCCCTTACAGACAAGCTGTCAGGGGACGCGCACGAGCATTTATCAAGACGTTCAGGTCCACGCGGCTCCCTTGGCGCTGAGCCTCTCTCCCCCTGGCGAACCTTCCGGCTCGGCGCCAGTGGCTCGCGGAGCCCGCCAGGGGGGAGTCCGGCGCCGAGCAGAGACACCCGCGGGCATCGCCGAAAGCGCATGTCCGTGTAATTGTCCCTTCTTCGACTCCTCCCGTGTTACTCTTTCCGCCTGGTCCAATTCTTCCTCCTGCCCTTTCCTCCAGTTCCCTTTCCTGTTCCCCTCCCTGCCGCATCCTTCTGCGCTCTGTCCTGCCTCGTCTCGTCCTTCTCTGCAACGTCCAGCCTGCTGCTCCCCCTCATCATGGGGAGACGCTCGGAGACCAGCAGATGCAGCCTCAGAACGGCCCCCAAGACTTCCAAGAGGGTCCCACGAGGGCCCCACGAGGGCTCCAAGAGGGTCCCCAAAGACCCTCAAGACGGCTAGCAGGGGCCCAGGACGTCCCAAGGACCCCAAGACGGTCCAAGAGAGCACCAAAACAGTCCAAGGGGGCCCCCCGAATAGGCCCAGAGAGACCCCAAAACAGCCCCCACAAGGCCCCCAAAATACACCGAGACGTCCGCAGGCTTCCCGAAGACACACTAAAATCGTTCAGCGCATGACGCACATACTCCCTGCATATCCACCGTTGTGCACCTCCACAGGCAGGGATCGATTGAAGACTACACACCCAGACCCACAGCCAACAGCAACCCCGCCCACCCCACAAGATCTCCGAGATGCTCCGGCACCGCTGCAATTTCCTCGCCAACTCTCACCAGCCCTCGGGGCCGGCGCTAAAGGGCGTACTCCTAAACTCGGTGTGAAACGCCAAACGCTGAAATCTAGTGTGTGTGTGTGTGTGTGAATGAGTGAAAGAAAGAAACTTCGCGAAAGGGGCGGCTTCAAACTAGAGGATTATCAAGGGGAAAGGGGGCGACCTTTGGAACGGCCGTCGACGCCCCGAGTGTTAAATCACTTGCGACATGCAACCTTTGGAAATCCTGCATGCTGAAAGCCAATACGCGGGAGGCTTGAGTTCCACAAAGAGGATTTCGAGGGAGAAGACTTCGTAGCTCTGACAGAGAGTACTGGGGGTCCCAGGGCGTTGCGGCGACAGACCGTGCGGTGACCTGAAAATCCTAAATTGGGAAACCAAAAGGGACCGATACCGCTACTCCCGGGATCTCTCCCCGGTTACGTTCTGATCAGGATCTCGAGGGGAACCCAGCGGTGGCGACGAGGGCGGCCCAGGAGGCCCCAAAAAGGGGAACGCGGGGACAGGGTACCAGTCTGGGTACCGTTTCCCCTTCTGGCTAGAAGGCCTCACCGAACAGGCGTGTGGCCTTGGAGGGCCCCGGTCGCCCGAGGCCCGAGCCCTCCTCGGAGACCCACCCCAAACGCTCGCCGCCGCCATGACCTTCGCCGCCGCCGCCGCCCTCTGCCGCTGCCTCCCGCGCTCTGCCGCCCTCTGCCGATCCTGGCCACCGCGCGAGCTGTCCGAACCGTGCCCCCAGACCAGGGGGGAGGGGGAGGAGGAGGAGGAGGAGGAGGAGGAGGAGGAGGAGGAGGAGGAGGAGGAGGAGGAGGAGGAGGAGGGGAGAAGGAGGAGGAGGAGGAGGAGGAGGAGGAGGAGAGAGAGGAGGAGGAGGAGGAGGAGGAGGAGGAGGAGGAGGAGGAGGAGGAGGAGGGAGGAGGAGTGAAGTGAAGCTCGTGGAATCCAGTGCGTGGAGGAGGAGGAGGAGGAGGAGGAGGAGGAGGAGGAGGAGGAGGAGGAGAGGGATGAGGAGGAGGAGAAGGGAGAGGAAGAGGAGGAGGAGGAGGAGGCGGTGTAGGAGGAGAAGGGGGAGGAGGAGGAGGACGAGGAGGAGGAGGAGGAGGAGGAGAAGGAGGAGGAGGAGGAGGGAGGATCGGGGTATCTTGGAGCCTCTGGGGCACTCTTAGGGCCTCCGGAGAGCTTCCTGGGAGCCCCTTGGAGAAATCTTGGGGTCCGAATCGATGGGCGGCGGGTGTAAGGTTCGGACTTCGCCACGTGCTCGACGAGATCCGAACCCTACCCCCGCCGCCCGTCTAGTTGCCTGAACCGTTGACTGGCAACGGCAGGGTTTGGATTCCGCCGCCGAGTCATACCTCGCCTCTCCGGCGGCCGCCCAGGACCTGGGCAACCCCGCATCGCTCCCGCCGTGGCGCAGCTGCTGGAAAGCATCCCGAGGCTGGAAGACCGCGGAGCACCGACGACAACGCCCGCACACCTCGAACCTCGGACCGAGAGCGCCCGCAACATGCGCGGCGCGGCACTGACTCGCCCGACGGTGTGGACACCGCGCCGCTCTTCTTGATGGCCCTGCTTTCCACAAACACCACCACAAGTTGGAGGGGGAGGGGGTCAGCCTCCTCAACCTCCTCCTCCTCATCCTCGTCCTCCTCATCCTCGTCCTCCACCTCCTGCCCCCCTCCAAGTTATGATGGTGGTGGTGGGAAAAAGGCCCATGACTGTTTCATTCTCCTGGAGCACAACTGATCGCTCCGCCCGTGCTCCAGCCGTGCGGAAACGCCGCCCGCCTCGGAGACCCGCAAACAGCTCGCGTCCCACGGCGCTTGGAAGGCCACGGCCGGCTGGGCGTCTTGCTTCCGATCTACTGCTCCAGGGAGGTGGGGGAGGGAGGGCGAGAAAGGTGAGGAGAGGGAGGAGGAGGGGGAGGGGAAGGAGGAGGGGGAGGAGGAGGAGGAGGAGGAGGAGGAGGAGGAGGAGGAGGAGAGGGAGAGGAGGAGGAGGAGGAGGAGGAGGAGGAGGAGGAGGAGGAGGAGGAGGAGGGTCATGTTTCATGGGGTTTCTGGGGCCGGGGCGAAGGAGATGCGGGGGCGCGCTCCCGAGGGGGGAATACTGAGAGGCAGGACCAGCTCAGGAGGGAAAACATCGACCTTGATTCGGCAATGAGCCGCTAGTGCTTCGGCGATAGGCACGCAACAGCTTGGAGGGGCCGCGGCGTCTGAACTGGATCGGAACCTAGAACATCGGTCTGGAGGGGGGGCGAAGCCAAATCGTTCAAAATCGGTCCCCCCAGACCCCTCCTGTGGTCCATCGGGTTCACCCCAGGTCCGTTTTTCACGGTCGTAGGGCCAGAAAAAGGCATCAAACACTTTGTCGAGCCCCTCTCCTAAAACGTCGCCCCCACTTCCGAACCACTGCTGGGCCACCTCGGACCCCGAGCGAGCTCCAAATCCACCGACCCTGTCGGCGTGCGTGAGGAGCTTGTTCGTTGGAGTCGTCGTCTCCGTCATTCGCCAGCCGTCGTCCGTCGTCCCCTTTCCCTGCGCCCTCCCTTTCCCTGGGCCCGTCGTTGCTCCCCCCACCCTTTCCCTCGTCCTCCTCCTCAAGCGCTGGGCCCGTCGCCGCTGCCCCCCTTTCCCTAGGCCCTCCTCCTCGAGCGCGCCAGCCAAATCGAAATTGAGCAACGTCGTAATCGACTCGAAGGGAAACTCCTTCTTTGATCCCTCCCTCGCCGGGAGGGGGGGGGTCCCGGGTCAAATGCCACTCCCCCCAGGGGGGTCCCGGGGGAGGGTCCCGGGTCAGATACGACTCCCCCCCCGGGTGTCCCGGGGCCCACACACGCCCCAAGACGGGCCGAGAGTGTCCCAAGAGGCTCCAAAGACGGTCCAAGAGGGCCATGAATCGCCGAACGATCTGTCCAAGACGCCTTGACGGCCTCCAGACGGCCCAAGAGCACTGCAAGA